CACTTGTTATGCATAGAGAGCTGGACAATAACTAAGAAGTATAGAAGGAGAATTGATGCCTTTGAGCTGTGGTGTTGGAGAAGAGTATTGAATATACCATGGACTGCTAAGAAAACAAACAGGTTTATCCTGGAGAGGGTTAAATCAGTCTGCTTCTTGGAGGCAAGGATTCTGAGGCTTCATCTAACATACTTTGGACATGTTGCAGGGAGGGACCAGTCCGTGGAGAGGAATGTCATTCTTGGGAGAATGGAGGCGCGCAGCACGGGAGGGGAAGACCCTCTGTGAGATGGATTGATTCAGTGACTGGAGTAATTGTGCTAGGTATACCAGAGACAGTGAGATTGGCACAGGATAAAGCAGGGTTTATTGGGCTGTTGTACTTAAGGTCCCTATGAGTCAGAGGTGACTCGACGGCACATAACAACAACCCTCTTGTCTTTGATTTATAGTTTCATGGCATTGTGGTCTGAGAAAATACTTTGTATTATTGTAATGTTGGACTTTTTTTAATTCACTGTGGCACTTTTTCTTCCCTCTTGCTTCAGTAGCCCACCCTACAATGCATCCCTTCTTCCAGATTGTTGTCATACATGTATTTCAGTATTTTTTAGTTTTTTGAGGCTTGCTTTGTGTCCTACTAAATAGTCAGTTCTGGAGCATGTACCATGTGCACTTGGTAAGAAAGTAAATTTTTTTTTTGGTTGGGTGCAGTAACCTGAATACACCCACAAGGTTCAGTTAGACGAATATATAGTTTAAATCATCAGCATCTTTGTTAAGCTTCTTTTGAGTTGACCTATCCTTTCCTTAGAGTGATATATTAAAGTCTCCTGCCACTATTGTGGTGCTATTTCCTTCTTCAAGTTTAACGTTAAACAATGTTTTATGTATTTTGCGTATCTGTCATTTGGTGCTTAGATGTTGATCATGGCTATGTTTTCTTGGTCTCTTGTGCCTTTAATCATGATATACTGCCCTTTTATGGTGGTTTTTATTTTTTATCAGAATTCTGTTGGAGATTAGACTGTCACTCCTGCATTTTTTTGGATGCCATTTGCTTGATATCTTTTTTTTCCCCAGCCTTTGATTTTGAGTCTGTCTTTCCCCTCATTTCTTAGCTGTGTCTCTTATAGACAGCGTATTAATGGCTTTTGTTCCTTTATCCATTCTGCTACTCTTTGTCTTAATTGGTACTTTAGTCCATTCACATTAAATGTGATTATTTACTGGCTAGGTTTTATTGTTGCCATTTTGCTGTGTTTCTTTTTCCCTTGTGTCTAGTTACTATGGTCCATCCACTTGCCTTTTGTGTCTGTGTGAAGGATATCCGTTGGAATTTCTTGTTGAGTTGATCTTGTTTATAAAAATTTCTTTAGTTCTTGTTTTTCTGCGAATGACCTAATTTCTCCTTCATAATTGCTAGACAGCTTGGCTGCATACAGAATCCTCGACTAATAATTGTTTTCTTTTAACCTTCTATATATGGCATCATTACCTTCTTGCTTACCTGGGTTTTGCTGAGAAATCAAAACTTAGTCTCATTGAGTCTCCTCTCTATGTGACCTTTTGTAATTCCTGTGCTGCCTTTATTATTCTGTCCTTATCTTTGATTTTGGAGAATTTGACTGTGACATGTCTTGATGTTTTTCTTTTAGAGCCTCATCTTTTTGGGCTTCTTGGATGTGATTTCCATGTTCTTCATAATGCCTGGAAAGTTTTCTTCTAGTACCTCTTCTGCTGGTTCCCTTGTTCTTTCCCTGCCTGCTTTGTATTCTGGGATTCCAGTCATACGCATGTTTATTTCTTTTGATGTCATCCCACTTAATTCTAATGTTTTCTTCATTTTCCTTCCATTTGCTCTGATTTTTTTTCCCCTTAGTATGTTCCTATTAAGGTTCTTGTCTGACAGCTTTTTTTTTTAATCCCTCCAGCATATTGAACACTTCTGTCATTTCAGTCTTGATATTCTAGATTGCATTTTCATTCATTTTTGCTAATTCCAGTTCTTGATTGGCTGTCCTCTCTGTCTTACATAGATTTTTTTAATTTCTTAAAGTTTTTATTTTCTCTTCTTGTCACAACACTAAGATAATTATTTACAAAATTTTTTTAAAGTCTATTAATGAGACTTTAATTTTTTTTAATCATTAATTTATTCATTGCTCATACCTTTTTACAGAAAACCAGAATAACATAAATGACAATTATATACATGGATCTTACCTAAAGGAATACACAAGTATCAAATTGGTTTTATCTATAGAAAGAGACAATACAGAACTCATTATCAGCCGTCTAAACAAGCATTGAGGCTGATTGTGGAACAGAACATTAATTACTCATATGCAATTTAAATTGCAGCAGGCAACTATTCTTTTTTTTTTCAATTCAGTAAAAATAATTTATCCAGTTTTTCTCAGTCTTACCCCCACCCCAGTGTCAGCCTCATTCTATAACAGTGGCACCGTATAATATTTGTCTCTTTGTGACTGAGATTTTTTTTATCAGCATAATGTCTTCCAGGGTCACCCATTTTGAATAATGTTGCGAGAGTTCCTTGTTTTTCAAAGCAGCATAGTATTCCATTGTGTGAATATACCACAGCTTCTCTATCCATTCGTTTGTTGATGGGCACTTAGGTTGTTTCCAAATCCTTGCTATTGTGAGTAAAGCCACAATAAATATGGGTATGCATATATCTGCTTGGATGTCATTTATGGTCTTTATAGGGTATATTCCCAGTAATGGAATTGCTGGGTCAAATGGTATCTCTGTTTACAACTTTTTGAGAAAGCATCAAACCACTTTCACAGTGGTTGTACCATTTTACACTTCCACCAACAGTGAATAAGGGTTCCAGTCTCTCCACAACCTCGCCAGCATTTGTTGTTAGCTGTTCTGTTAAATTTTGCTATTCTTCTGGGGTGAGATGATATCTCATAGTTGTCTTGATTTGCATCTCTCTCAGGGCTAGGGATTTTGAACATTTCTTCATGTGCTTGTTGGCCATCTGGATGTCTTCTTTGGTGAAGTGTCTGTTCATATCCTGTGCCCATTTTTCTATTGGAGTATTTACCCTTATCTTGTGGTGCTCAAGTATTTTATAAATTCTAGGTATTCTGAGGTATTCACTCTTTTTATGGTTTCTATTCTATTATTTGTATTTTCTTCTGTAGCTGTTCATGTGACTCCATGTCAGTATATTTCTCCTGCCTCTCAGTCTCTAAGGAATTCATTATGTTTGTTGTATGCTCTGCTTTTTAGGAGGCTTATTTTGTGTTTGTCTTAACAATGTTTGAAGTTGTTTGCTGCTTTCTTGACATTGTGTGAATTTTTCTGTGTATATGTTAAGTCATTTCTGTTGTATCTGTGTAGGTTGTTCACAGTTCTTTGTTTTTATGTTGTTATCTATTAGTTGCAGAGCAGTGGTAGATAGGATGGAAGGGTGAAATTGTCCTGGGAGCATCCTGAGGGTGTTTCTCTATGTGGATTCAGTAAGTGACTTTCCCCACCCCATCCTTTTTTTTTTTTTAGGTTTGAACTCTCATACACTATTGGTGGGATTATTAACTGGTATAACAACTCTGGAGAACAGTTTATCGTTTCCTCCAAAAGCTGAACATAGAAACTATGTGACTGAGATATTGCACTGCTAAGAATATGCCCCAAATAATGCGTAATCATATATTCTTTTTAAGCAGTTCTTTCCTTCGTCTGTCCCGATGCAGTGTTCCTTATTTAGCCCTCTTTTCTTAGATTCCCCCCAACATCCATGTGAATCTTGTTTTATAACAGTAGCATTATGCAGTATTTGTCCTTTAGTGACTGAGATAGTTCACTCAGCATAATGTCTTCCAGGATTGCCTGTTGTTGATTGCTTTGGGGCAAGGCACAGCTCATAGCAACTCTATGAAGAAGAGACCTAATGCCTTTCCATAACTATAGTAATTTTTCCAAGTTCATAGAGTTTCCAGAGGCATGGGGTTTAGGAAGTGGATGCCACTCCTGCTTCCAAAACTGTTTTATAACTGGGAGCTCCACTAATCCCTGTCCACATTGGGAAACCATTCTGGTATTTGATACTCCAGTGGTACAAGGTTCAGCATCACAGCAACGCAGGTTACTTGATACAGCACATTGACAAAGAGTGATATACAAAGTGGAATAGTGTTCCTCCAGATATAACAACACTAGTTTCACTTGGCAGCGGTTAAGTGTCATCAAGTCGAATACGACTGAGAGTAAGTTTTGTACAAAAGACCTAAACTCTGTTCTATAACTACCATCATTTCTGTACATTTATAGAGTTTAGAGAGTTTGTGAGTTTAGAGAGTTTGTAGAATTTCCAGAGGCATCTAGTTTTTGGAAGTGGATGCCACAGATGCCACTTCTGCTTCCCAGCATAAGTCAATCTAGAAGCTTATCCAAACACTGTACATAGTTGGAAACCATTATGGTATTTGACAGCGCTATGGAACAGTGTGCAGCATCACAGCAACACAAGGGTAACCTATGATGTGTAATATTTTATGAGTTCCTTGTTTTTCAGTGCTGCATAGTATTCTGTTGTGTAAATATGCCATAGTTTTCTTTGTATGATAACAGGACAGAATAAGAAGTGCATAGCAAAGTGGATTCATGGAGGGTCGGGGCATTGAGGGAGGAAATTATGCAATAATGAATGGTTTTCTTTTTAAATAAGAGAACTGCATGGGATAGGGAGAAAATGTGCTATAATGAATGATGAACAATCCAACTTTTCTGTAAAGTTTCATTAAAATCACAATTAAAAAAATTAAAATAAAAAAAGAATATGCCCCAATTAAATTAGAACTGAAACACAAATGGAGATTTGTACACTGATGTTCATAGCAGCATTTTTCACATTGCAAGCATATGGGAACAAGTTAATTTTGAGTAGATGCTTATATACTGCTAGGAAAGAGAAAACATTTTGCCTTGACAACTAATTTTAGATTATTTTTTAAACATCTTAGGAAATTGAGTCAAGAAGAATATGAGCGGCAAGAAAAAGAGCAGCGTCTGTCTGCTACAGATGAAAAAGCAATTTTGGCTGCAGAAGAAGTGAAAACTTACAAGTGAGTACAACTTCTAAACCACTCTTAGGGGCTTTGTGTTTTGGTTGGGTTTTTGTTTTGTTTTGTTTCATTTTGTTTTGTTTTAAACATGCATAAATGGTCATAGAATTTGAATACATTCAATTCATATAGTGGGGAAAAACAATAAATTTTAAGTTAACAAATGAAAACTACTAACAAAGTTTTTCTTACAGACAGTGCTCTGGAAACTATAAAGGACTTTTATGCCAGTAGTGGGTAATTTTGTGCACTGGCTTATTTTTTTAGGAAATTAGTTTATTGTAAGATGTGTTAAAAACAGTGAAACTCACTGTGCCATTTGTTAGTCCCAATTATTGTGTCATTTATAGCTCTGGGAAGTTTTCTGTAGATTAAGTTAAAGGAGAAAATACTTAATGGAAGAAGATTCATAGTAGAATTATTTCAGAACAAGCTGAAGACTAGTTAAAGAATTTATATCAAATCAGAATCTTCATCTATTAAATAGGGATAATAACATTTAAAAAATTTTTGTATGTATGAATGAAGTCTGTGGGGTACAGATTATAAAGAGAACATAGCTCAATGAGTTAAAATTTTATCTAGTTGTAGTTTAACTGCAAGTATCATTCTTAGGAGGAGAATTAAAGAAATGGAAGCTGAAATACAGAAAACAGAGTGCTCATTTAAAAACCAGGTAATAATTATCTTGCCCTACAGTTGTTTGTCTACCCAAATCAGAGGGAGTTCTGGTGGTTTCGTGGGTAAAGAGTTGTGTCATTATCCCAAAGGCAGCTGGTTCAAATTCATCAGCTGCTCCTTGAGAGAAAGATTGGCATTCTTTTTCCATGCATTCTACTTCCTCTGAAAGTTCCCTTGGAGGTTCAACTATTAGTCAGTTCTAACTCAGTGGCACCTAACAAGATGATTGCAGAATTCTTTTATATCTTAATATAATAGACTGTTAGGATCCTGGATATATTTTTTTCATATCTGGTCTTTTTCAGATTGCTGCTCATGAGAAGAAAGCACATGAGAATTGGGTAAGGTTTTTTTTTCTTTATATTTCATTTTGTGCGTAGTCTTAACCACAACTTAATCTGGATATTTTTCTTCAATAGCTGAAGGCTCGTGCTGCAGAAAGAGCTATAGATGAAGAAAAAAGAGAAGCTGCTAACTTAAGACACAAGTATGTCATTTTAGTAAATATTTTTTCAGTGAATTATAAGAGGTTTTAAACCTATACTGTTTGATTTTTAGTAAATAAATTTATTTTCTGCTTAATAATCAAATGTATTCTCTCTCTGTAATAAAGATTATTAGAAATAACCCAAAAGATGGCAATGCTACAAGAAGAACCAGTGATTGTAAAACCAATGCCAGGAAGGCCTAATCCACAAAACCATCCAAGGAGAGGTGGGGAGCGCTTGTTATAAAATACCTATCAATGGCTTCTTATTCTTGTTTATGATAATTATAATGCCCTAAAAACAATTACCAGCACTTCAGGAAGTCTAAAAAGTAGTAAGAAGATGACTTTATTCCCAGGTCCTCTCAGCCAGAATGGCTCCTTCGGCCCATCCCCTGTGAGTGGTGGTGAGTGTTCCCCTCCGCTGACCATGGAGCCGCCTTTGAGGCGTCACTCCACTACTTTCAGTACCCGAGATGTGCCAAGAACTGAATTTGGTGAGCATTCACAGTTTCCTTCCTTTTAGAATCTTCTATTTCAGAATTGTACTGCCAATAGTGTTTTAGAAATTGGATCTGTCTAGATACTGGAGGGTCATCTATGGTCAGTTCTGATCAATAGCACTCAACAACAAAAATGGAGAACAATATGGCAAAATTTTCTTTAATGGATTTGCTCTTGAATAGAAAACATTTATCAATAACATTTTCCTAGGAGTTCCTTTGGTCTTTAGCTTTTTTTGTTGTTGTGAAGTATAAGAAGCCTTTATGTTTAAATCAAATTTCTAGTGTTTCCCTAATATTACAAAAATCCTTAAACTGAAGTTTTGTCTTATGTTTTCCCCCTCTTGATGAGTGTTCTGTGACACTTTTGGTGAGACTGTTCAATAATGGCAGTCCAGCATCATTGAGTTCTTCCAGTGTCATGGCAGTTAGCCACATATAGAAACACATTGTTTTGCCTCTGATGGCCAAAACACAGCTTGATCTAGATATATATGTTAAGTTTATGCTGAGCTGCTTCATGTATATTTTCCTTAATTAAAATTTCCTTGTTGCCTGGAAGCCCTTAGTTTATTATGCATTATCTAAGCATACATATGGTACTGCCAACTACAAACCCAAATATTGTGAGCTAGAGAAGGCAGAATTACATAGTGGTCAGTCTGGAGCTGTGTAGAGCCATGTTGCAGTCCTGCCTCTGTTGCTTTGTGGCTGGCTGTCATAGGCCTTTAACCTAAATTTGCTGAACATCAGTTTGCCTTGTCTATAAATTGGAGATCCCACCACCTAGCTAGGGTTGCAAAAAATTAAAAACATACTAGCATGTGTGAAATCAGTTTATAAATGTTCATACTTAATTTTTTTTTCTTTTTCTTTGTGCTATACTTTTCCCAGGTACTTTATTTCTAGATATAATATTTTAATAGGGGTTCCTTTAGTTTTAAATTTTTTTTATTGTAAAGTATAAGAAACCATTAAACTAAATCTCTAAAGACTTCCTCTCCCTAACAGAATAAAAACCCTAAAACTTTATAGTTTATGCTTCATATATACTTCTATGTTTCATTGTCGTCATCGTTTTTGTTGTGTACTGTAGAGTCAGAACCAACCTATAGCTGACTCTTTGGTGGATTTTCAGAGACAGTAAACCGCATGAGAGTTGATTGCACCTTTTTCTTCCATGAAGCAGTTGGTAGATCCGAACTATATACCTTTGCGACAGGGAACTACCAGAAGTACAAGCTGGTTTTAATAGAGGCTGCGGCACCAGGGACATCATTGCTGATGTCAGATAGAACCCAGGTGAAAGCAGAGAATACCAGAAGAATGTTTATTTGTGTTTCATTGACTATGACAAGGCATTTCGCTACATGGACCAAAACAAATAATGGCTAACATTGAGAAGAATGGGAATCCTGGAACACTTAATTGTGTTCATACAGAATCTGTACCTAGACCAGGAAGCTGTTGTACATACAGAACAAGAGAACACTGAATGGTTTAAAATCAGGAAGGGTGTGCATCAGGATTGTATATTTTCTCCATTCCTAGTCAGTGTATACACTGAGCAAATAATTCATGAAGCTGGACTCTATGAAGAGGAGTGTGACATCAGGATTGGAGGAAGACTCATCAGCAACCTGCATTAGGGAGATGTCACGACTTTGCTTGCTGAAAGTGAGGAGGCCGTGAAACGCTTGCTACAGAAGAGCACGGATTACCGCCTTCAGTTTGGATTGCATCTCAACATCAAGAAAACAGAGATCTTCATCATGGACTCAACAGTCAACATCTGATACATAGAGAAAAGATTGAAGCATCAGTGATTTCGTCTTGATTGGATCAACAGTCATCATCCTTGGGACTAGCAGTCAGGAAATCAGGAGACTTAATTGCATTGGCCAAGTCTGCTGTCAGGGACCTCTCTAAGTGCTGAAGAGCAGTGCTATCAGTTTGAAGACTTAAGATGCACCTGACTCAGACCATCACAGCAGTCATTTGCTGTATATCAGAGAGCTAGATAGTAAATAAGGATGACAGAAGGATTGATTCCTTTGAGCTGTGGTGTTAGGGAAGAGTACTGAAAATCCCATGGGCTGCCAAAAGAACAAACATATGTGTTGGAAAAGGTGCAGCCAGAGAGTTCCTTGGCGGCAAGGATGACGAGGCTTTGTCTTTCCTACTTTCGACATGTAGCTAGGTGAGGCTGTTGCTTGGAAAGGGACTACATGCTTGGAAAGATGCAGAGCTAGTAAAGGAGAGAAAGACCCAAATAAGATGGATTGACTCAGTGTCTTCAGCAAGGGGCTCTGTTGATGATGAAGACAGCACAGGATAGGACATATTTCACGTTGGCTGTTCTTAGTGTTGCTGTGGGTCATACTTGACAGCACCTGAAAACAACGAAAAAACCACCTACTAACAGTAAATTATTTGCTTGCTATACTCAGAAATCATTATAGAGCTCTTGTTAAGGTATAGATGTCAGATTATAATTAGACTGAAAACAAAAGCCAGAAATTCTTACAAAGAATAAGAAAGAAATCTGAAAATACCACATACCATGGTTGTCAACTTTGTGCTGAGTAAGATAAGACAGACACAAGAGGACACATACTGTAGGAGTCCATGAGTTAAAAAAATGTAAAAACTGAAAAGTCAGGTTGATCAGAGAAAGAGAGGGACTCTCACAGGATGGACCGGCACAGTGCCTTCAACAATGGGCTCCAGCAAACAGATGGCCATGAGGATGGTGCATGATGGGTAAGGTTCAGACCACTTGGAGGGTCACCAGCAGTCATGGTCGACTCAGTGTCATCTGATAACAACAACAAGGAAAAATAGACAAAATAAATAGCCTTTTTGAGGGTTTGCAGTGAAGGATAGGGACAGGAGAGAGCAACATTTTTACTTAACACTTTTAGCATTAAATTTTTATTTTATATTGGTTTGCTTAAAAAGCCCATATATATTATGTTTCACACTATTCTTCATTCACATTGTGCTTCATAGAATCATTCCCATTCATTATGTTTTATAAAATTAATCACCATTGAACTGTGCCCAACACTGCAGTGTCTTTCCAGATCCCTGCGGAATCTTTCCCATTTCCTCTACCCCATCCCCTCCCCTCACCAAATTGTGCGATCCCCTGCCCATCCTCACCTCTCTGCTCCCACCCTCAACCCCTTGGATTTGCACACACATTTTGCTTGTTAGCTGTTTCTACAGTAATGGTCTTAAGCAGTATTTGACTTACGTAACTGAACTAGTTGATTTTTAAAAAAACTTTAATAAAATAAAATGCCATTTTATGTCTTCTAAGAAAATCTTTTGACAGTCTTTTATGTGTTGTTGTGTGGGAGAAGATCAGCCTTGCAACCAGCAAAGGATTTTCTAATGCCTTACTAAATTAGCAGAAACATGGGCTTGGTGACAGGAATGAGGCTGGAGATAGAATGATTGAATTTTGTAAAATCAATGACTTATTCATTGAAAATACATTTTATAAGAGAGACAAACGCAGGTTATACACATGGACTTCACCTGATGGTAT